CACAGCCAGGCACGCCTCTCACTTCCTGCCCAAATACAGATGTTGGCCTACACGTTGCCGCTTTTAGCCAGCTCTTATTTATTCAAATGTAAATCAATACCCAGCGCCCGAAAGTGTCAGGACGCGTTACACCGCGATAGCACACTCGAGGCTCTGCTGTTACGTGTGTACTCGAGGACCGCCACTTGCAACGACAGTCTGAGGAGAGGACATCGCGCGTCATGCAATTATTCCAACAAAACACCGTAACATACACGTTTTACAAAGAGCTACGACTAAACAGAACATTACACAACCAGAAACGTGGTTACAGGCGACTTGTTCTCTTCAGGTATGTAATTTCATTACGGTGGTTAAACCGCAGAAGTTGGAAGATGTTTTATCTGGTGTCTAAACCAACAGGGTGACATTGGGGTCGTCATATACTGCGTATTAAGCTAATTAATTCAAGGAGATTGCATTGGGGTGGTCATACTGTCGTATTAGAGGAGTCAAGTCAAGCAGGTTACATCGGAGTGGTCAAGTACAGTCCACAGATCAGGAGAAAATCCCTGCTAGGAATTCGTTAAACGCGCATGCGCAAGATTTCGCGGTGAGTGACGACCCATCCTAAAAGCATTCGTTCCACAACCACTGAACGAACAACAGACAACAATCTTTCATGTGTTCTAATGGGTACAGCTTTAAGATTACCTCACAGTGGCACACCGATTTAATCTAGAATATTATCGCAACACCCGCAGAACACATTAGAGGTGCACTCACTACTCGCTACTCTTAACTGCTTGATGTTTTCAGTCTGTGTAGTAGCGTAAAACTCTGACGTATCACACTTCCCACCAATAGCAGCCCTCTAGTCCAGCTGATAAGTAACATTCCCCCAGCAGGGTTTTTCTCGTGATCTGTGGACAGTAGCTTCCATACTGGAAACAAGTTCTAAGGCGCTGCACAGAAACATCGTTTTCCTTCGGTTTTATAGTGTTTCGGCTCAGTTTCACAGTTTGTTTTGAATTTATCTTCGGACCACTCCCACAGCATCAAATATCATTCAGATTCCTCCAACAGTGGAGAAATCTTTAGTAAGCGCAAGACAGCATTCAGCATGACGTCATGGCTTCGAGGTCGAGTCAATTCTTCGCACAGACAGACAGTACACGTGGATTAAGTACTCAACCCGCGGCCAGAATGGAGCCAGCCGATGTTTTGTGCGGTCGGCGTACATTTATTTAATTCTACGTCATCCTGTTCTGTGAAAACGTTACCTTATATCAGAAAACCAGTTTTATTAATGTAGTCAAGTCTGGCAGTGATTGTCGCTGTACAGCTTAATGAAGAAAGTAAAATCAACATTTAAAATATTAAATGATGTTCTTTATCGAAATATTCGATTTACATTAGACCATCATTTTTCATGTTTCACGACATGTTTCAGTTCCTAAAAGAACCATCCTCAGGTGTATATAATTACATGAATCTTCAAAACGATAAATAATTCAAATACAATTTTCATACATTATGCTAGCGTACATTTTTATCAGATTTTTACCAGATGTCAAACGATGTTCTTTTTCAGATTTTTATTCCATTTTATTAAACACTGAAACATGTCGTGAAACATGAAAAATGATGGTCTAATGTAAATCGAATATTTCGATAAAGAACATCATTTAATATTTAAATATTTTAAATGTTAATTATTGTAATATTTTAAATATTTAATAAGAATTATTGTGATTAGACGGACAAAATTTAATATATAATACATACTTAATATATAAAATCAAGAAGTAGGAAAATGTTAGTTGGAGTTTCTTAGTGTAATTTCGTAAAGGCACAATTTTTTTTTAATTCGAGTGGTTCATGTAAAAGTGCATCGGATATTTCTACACATGTGCTAAGGATGTCAGTTGGAAATTAAGGAAGTCATCGCACAAAAATTTACCTTAAATCTTGTAATTACGTTCGATAAACACAGATAACATATTTCCTAACAGAGGCATTCGGACTGAGTCAATGCGAACCATTTAGTACAATATTCTGAACCTACGAACCAGGAACTGAGTCTAGAACAGGTGAGTAACTTTACTGAAACGAAGACGACTAATCTACCCCGCAGACTCTCGCTTAATTAATTTTCATATTATGATCGCATTCTCTTATCGTGCTTACATGATTTTAATAACGAGTTATAATTTCGATTATTTCAATTTTAAATTATGTTAATTTATCAGCATTTACAAAGTTTCGTCTTCTAAATTGTTCGCGCATTTATGCACATTCGCTCGTCGTCTCGAGCTTTGACGACGCAGTCACATTTCTAAACGTTTCTCCCTTTCGCTTTATTTAATTAGAAATTATTCCAAAATTATAATCTCAAATACAGAGAAGAGTCCCGAGGTGGTACAAGAGATATACGTGGGAATACATCGTGTAACTAAGAAATGTATTTCAATCTTAAGATCGTAATAAAATTCATCACTGTTTTAATATCACAATGCTAACGTACGTAATGGTTGTTTATACACCATTTTGGGGCACCTGAATGTGTGTTCAGTAAATAGTTCTCTGGCATTTGTTACAATATATATCGTCATTTGTTTAAGCAGCCAACTACAAACAGGCAGCGAACACGGCCGATGATAAAGCTTCATCCTACGAAGGTAAACCATGAGTTACGCTATTGACACAAAGCCACCCAACCGTTCACTTATTACCCTAATTAATCCCATACTACATAACCTACAATCGATTGTGAATCTAGTGCAATCGATTACAAGGTAACCAAGGTTAAGTCATTGAAGTCACAAAGACTTATTACGAAACTGGTGATACGCCTCTGACGGTTTCTGTGGAGTATTGACGAAATTGCGCTCGTAAGGATTATGGAATGACAGTTCAGAAATTACTAAGGATCCGTCGGGAATGAAAATGTTCGAAAAAAAATGTTATTTAACTTTGTGTGGCTTGTCTAAATTATGAAAAAAAACAGACAGTACACCCTTTGTTTTTTTAATATTAAACTGGTACGTGATCTACAGTAAGTCCCCCAATGCTATTTGTAAATTATATCTTAACAGGGAATCAAATTTCTGCTTTTAACAAAAGTTGAACTTCGTAATCGGCGCTTACCGCTGGATACGTGTGTTACTTCTTGCCTAGTGAAAACCTTTGGAAACTATGCACAAAATCCTACTAATACGGGAGTAATTTTATGAAATTTAGTACTCAATTCGGAAAAAATGCATTCTGGGTCACAACGAATATTCTTTAACCACCACTTTACAGCAGCAGACCTCGTTTTTCATGCACACGTCAAAAAAAATGTTTGTGGAGATCAAAAGACGATTCTGACGAAAGATACAGTCTGAGGAGAACTATTTAAAATTTTAATTCCATTAGGAAATCTCTTCTTGAGAAGCTGACAGTAGCTGAGATGATCAAGATAACCTAGATCCCGTATGTTGACTGCTATTTTCAGGTAGAGTGCTTCATTGGACGGTATAATGAGCCAATTGCATCCACTCCACCTCTACGATCACACGTGGTATATTTGAAATACAATACGGGTTCAAAAACTCAGACTTTTTATAATTAATTATTCTTATTAATTTCAGTTCCGTTTCTCTATAAATCAGCAATGTATGTTTCTGTCGCGAAACTTGCTGTTTCTCGACAGTGACAGATCGCCAACTCGTACGCCTCCATCTTGGACACAACTTGGTCGCCATCTTCCCCGTAATCAAGCGGAAACGCGGGCCCGACGGCTACATACATAGTAAGTTCCTCTGACAGTGTTCCACGAGCTGCGAGATGCCCCTTCATTATTCCACATATTCTTGTATTTTTCCAGAAGATGGGTAAGCCATGTAGAAAGACCGAGAACACGCGCGTGTGCCTCTCCTTTCCAACGCGTCGCTGTAGTTCGCTATGAGCAGCTTTAGGCGGGGGCGAGAGGGTAACACGTACTTTTGGGTTATGTCAAAGTCGGTAAGTATGGCTGTCTTTTGTTCTTCTCGCTTCAGACGCTTACATGCAGTTCCACACAGAAGATGGAGGTACACCAGCCGCCTGCACAGTGTTTGAAATTGCATCACTCTGCTTCCCTCACTTCGACACCCGATTACGGACAGACACCTTTACTTTGAAGCTGCGCCCCTCCGATATTCCTTGTTACTCACATGCTTAAACATTTATAACATTTACAGGCATTCTGGAAAACTCCAAGAAGATGGCCGATATCATATAATTGAGGATGGATTGTTAATAATTTTTAATTTTCGCTTTGCACATTACAACAGCCATTTATAGCATTCCGCAACTTCACTTCTAAGTTCACATGTTAAATATGAAACAAAAATAATCTCGATGTTTATCCTCGTCTTTCGAGGACAATCTGAGTCAATAGCTGAACGTATCCAAACTCCTCCACAGAGAAGGTACGTCGCCATCTTCAGGGTGAGTGATTTTCTAATTAAACGTCAGCATGAATAAGCTTGCAACTTTAAACTAGAACAGTGTAGATTCCCTCCAACACGCCTCGAACTCTGCGACACCAGCAAAGGTGGGGAATTTTAATAATTTGAAACTTCGCTTACGTTAATACCATTGGTTTGCAGTCTCTTCTGATACTCTGTATGTAGTCACAACATTAATCGAACAAGCCTGAGAAAAACAACGACCTACGATCCGAATTTTGTAATCACATTGCGTTAAAACAAGTTGACTATTGCAAAAGAATGGCAGTTCACTATGGAGATAAGTGTCTGACAACGAGAGGTTTTTTTTGGCAAGGGATCTATTAGGATGTCAGTGGCAACCGAAGTACCCAATATGAACGGAAACAAGTCTTTCGGGAACGCAGACGAGTACTGAAACTTAAGGGTATCAAAGCCAACTGCACTGAAAATCAGTACGAAAACGAAGAAAAATGAGACATGTATAACTGGTGTGTGACTTCATGTCATAACTTGCAACAAATTGTATTCGAAGTTGTCACTTACCTTCCTTCAGACTTCCAATCAGAAAAGAAGAATTCCCATTCTTTTTCTCAGAATGCGTTGTTGAACAGCACGAAAGGCGCTCTCCACTTGCAAAAGCACACAAGTTTGTTTGCAGTGCAGTGCTTGGAGCAACAGTCTAGGGGCTGACCCCGAAACACACAATTGATACAACGCGACAAACAAACACCCACTCGCTTGCAGCTGGTAGCTCTCGCTTCCTGCCAACAGCGAAGAAGATCCAATAGCTCAGACAGTCACTCCCTCATGACGACCGCGAGGAGACCACGTCACGGCTCAATTAACTGCGCTCAACACGGCGCAGGGGCGGCCAACCTGCCGGCATAAAAGACGAACATTACTGGACTCTTGCTTCATTCGTACCAACACTTCTTGATCCACTGAGTTTTAAAAAGAAGCAGATCGAACAGTTTGTGTGCATGTCCCCTAACCAGAGATTACGGAAAAACATTATGTAATGATAGCTACTTCTTCTTTGTGAGACACGGCAGAATTAAAATATTTGGCAGTGAAAATCAGAAATCAAAACTACATTCAGCACGAAGTTTGGAGGCAATCAAATACTGGTAATGCTCGATGCCACACTAAAGAAACACAACCTCTCCACTTCGTATCTAAAAGCCATTAGATTAAAATATAACTTTTTGTTTTACACGGGTATGGAACTTTGTCCCTCATAAAACATGGGGCCACAAACTGGTGCTGTCCGGGAACAGGGCGCTCAGGACGATTTTTGTGAAACAGTAATGCAAAAAATTACACACTGTATTTTTCGGCTTATAAGACGCGAATATTTACCTTCAAAATCACTGTACGAAAGTTAGCATCCCTGCCAGTGCGCTTGCACTCTGAATCGGCCACAGTCGGTTAATGTCGGGTTACACTCGTTTCTCAAACTCACTCCCCGCTGGCGAAGCAACTTTCAGTAATATATATACACATAATTTCGGTACGTCGACTGTTCCAATCAAATAACTGTTTTTAAAAAGTTATTTATGTAAAAATTTGATTTTTAGTTTAATACCTAAACATTTCTTCAATTCTGGGGTACGATAATACAAATCTTTAAAACATTTCTGTCATTACTGATCCTTCAAAAATAGGCCATAAACCTATCATACTCATAGATCCACACATGTTTGTTCTTGCTTTCGATATTCAGACTCTGGAAGACGAAAGAATTATTTTTACCCATTGTTTATGAGGTCTGTAAGAGGTAACAATTCCCAGAGTCCACACGCATGCGCAGCTGTGCGCAAAACGCCAGAGGAGAGGCGGTGGTACTACGTACTAGCTACTGTCAGGATGGCACACACAACGTATCACAAGACGGTTGCCTCAAAGCGAGTAGCAATCAGAAGTTCAGACATCGACGCGGTGCTAACTTTTTTCGTGGTCTTCCTCAGTTCCTTCATACAAATACCAAAACTTTCAAACTGGCGACAACCACTTCCTTTCTTATATTTAACAATTAAACACGACCAGTAATTCGACTCTAAATTACAAATGAAACTGAGAATAAAGCGTTAAATAAAACAGAAACTACCATTTTACCTCAATTTTAAGGCATCATCGACTTAGTAATAGGTTTTCATGAAAAAATACGTCTTTTACAAGAGGAATTACCAGTATTCAAACATAAAACTTCCGGCTTCAAAATCTGGAGCTCTGACGTCATCAAAACTCGTCATCTTCTAACAGAAGAAGATCGTTTATACATGCAGCTGATCACGACGAATGATTGCTGGATTACTTTCGCCGAATTTAGTATCAGAACATGAAAACACTGCGAATTTCCGTGGCACAGAACGACTCTGATCTACAAAATCATATTCACTGTTACAAAACCTGAGGAGTTCCACAAATCAAGTCGAAGGATTATTGTGGAAGGTGATTTAGGATATGGATTCTTGGGTTATTTAAAAGCGCTCCATCAACTGGCTTGATACAGCGTTAAATGGTAAGAAGTCTGAATGACGGATTGCAAAAAGATGAGAAAGGAAGTTGTCAAGATGTTGTTGACGTTCCATCCCGGCATTAGCCTGGAGAAAGTTCGGGAAGTAGAGACCGCAGTAGGCGTCTGGATGTGACACAGGCCAAGTTCGGCAGACGACAGACATGGACTCGGAGAGAATGTTAAGTAAACACGCGGGCTGAGCTAGCCTGTCTCAGACCTCGGGACTTCTTGAACGCGGCCTTCAAGAATAAAATGTTGGAGAGGGAGGAGAGTGAGATGGTTCCTGTGCCTAAACACAACGTCAAGAACTGAGAGGGGGAATGGAGGTAATGCCCAGTACATTCAGCTTCAAGCTCCGGCTTTTTCATCTCTGGAGAAACAGTCGTCGACGGTCATCGTGTCAGAAGCTGGTAGATTCCAGATACGGCCTCGACACTGGCAA